GTTTTAATCACGAGGCGGATATGCGTTTCCGTAAATTTAAAAAGGTACTCCAAAAACATAATGGCTCTGAAGCGTCATCGCATTCTCGTTGTTGGAAACAGAGGAGAAAGAAGTAAGAAAAATCATCTCATGCATTTATCATATAACTGGGGAAAATTACCTGGCCGTTTTACAAGGTCTTCACCCTCTCCCACCTCCTCCACCAATCCCCACCATATTGCTCGGTATTATTTTCTCATTTCAACGTTCGCTTTACCATTCTCGTACACTCGGCCACCCGTAATACAGTCAAGTTTTTACAAGGCAGTCGTTTCCGTCCGAGTATAGTGCATAGATCATCGAGAAGTGAATAACGATGAAAAAGGGTCCATATCAGGGATGGGGGATGGGGGATAGGGGATGGGGGCTAGATGGCGGACCCAACGTAGCTCAGGTGCGTTTAGTGGGTCCATTTTGCATCTTCGCGTGTTATCGCATTCAAATCCCGGGTAGGGAGCAATTTAAAACTCGTTTGGTAGCGGCCGATTTCGTGCTGCATCTGGCCCACAGAAGAGACCCCGTGAGGCCCCGGGCAAAAATAAACGCGAAGGAGCCAGGGTCCCCCCCTCGCCGTAGAGATAAAAGAAACGAGAGGAAATTAGTGGAAAGAGCCGGAGATATCCAGGCGCTGCCAACGCAGCGAACGATACCTCCATGGATTAGAAGTCGAGGTCAAGGTCAAGGAGATTCTACCACTGTCCCGTCCTCCAAACAAGTTCACCTCCAGGCGCCCATCGCGAGGACCATCAGCAGATGTATTTTGGGACTCGAATTGCTTGCAGGATACGTATGGCAGTGACAAAGGACGCGGGTTAAAGGATACAGTCACCGACAGTAGGACTTCAGACCGGTGAAATAAAGTTTTTCTCGACGACTGTACCGACGGATCAGTTTTTTGAGAGTGAATAACCCGGGGGTGTCCTACCTACTCCATATAATCCTGGGAGGCCAAGAAAAGGAGGATACCTGCATCAGGAATTTTTTGTGCCCCGGGTGGAGCTACTCCTCCCCGATCCTGTTCGATGAAGAATCGAATAGGTACCGGACCACAGTGTTCAGCGTTCATCGAACGATGAGCAAGGAATAATCACGGACACGTAGATGGATGCTGCGACAATGGTCCAAAGAATTTTGCCACCTGTTCCATCAGATTCCTGATACGTGACATTAAAAACGTGACGGTGACGTATAATAAAAAAGAAACCTTCATGAAAAGGATCCTCGGTTGAATTCATCGTCCTAGGAATAGTTTAAGTTAATTATTTATAGAAGAAAAAAAAAAAAAGAGGAGCACGTGACATCCGCCATCGAGTAACGGTAAATTATTGGGACTGAAATCATCGAATGATGACATCCATCTTATGTCCTATCCGATAGATCACGTCATCCTGATCACATAAGCCAATTCAAAATTCAGAAACGGTACTCATCAAGGAGGTACCCCTCCCCATCCTGCTCCGGCAAGAACTAGATTGGAGGAATAATAGTTAACACGTAGCCAAGCCACGGACCCCGGGACAATAGAATTCCCGCGGGTCACCCTCCTTCCTCTAATATAAATCCGACAGACGAAAGATACCCGGGCCGCCCAGGGTCTCCATTATTCCCAAGTAATTACATATTTCTCCTTGAGGAATTTTCGAAATGAGTTTCGGTGCGCCCCGAGGGCTGCCGTCCCCGGCGCTTCCTTCGATTATTTTCATCCTGAGCAAAGGAGGATGATTCCTAGAGACGCGCCGTGCAGTGCCCACCGGCACACCATTCTAGAGATACGTTTCCTCAGCATCCTAGAGACAATGAGAAATCGTCGCGTGTCCGTTGGCTACTATTTTCATAGATTAGCTTACGTTTAGTATTATACCAACCAGGTGATGTACCATGAACTAGTCAAGTACCTTAGATAGGTACCACTGCCTATAAATAGAAAGACCAAGATGGACGCCAATGTTACTCGATTTAATAATAAGTCCCTACAGTGGTCCAGAGAGTGAGACAGTCGAAAATAACAAAAAAAGTGAGATACAAAAAGAAAATTATACGGGGTGCTTCAACGGTGCTATAACTATATACATTGAGATTAGAAGCTAAGCCCTGAAGAAAATATCAGGAATTCCAATGCCTCCCCCCCTTTAGTTATAGATAATGCGAGGAAGCTATGCAGGATTCAAGGTCACTTTAAAGGTATCTGTAGACGTAACGGGGAACTCGAAGGAATTCGATTGCAGGATTGAAAGAGGGCCACTTGGGAGGAGGAACTGTAAGAGGGACGACCTTAAGGTCGCCGATGAGCTAACTGTACATGGTGGTTATACCGATTGGACTTCTGGAAAAACGAGTATCTCCATCCCTCTGGATGACCTTGCCCTCGTGCAACAAAGGACCCGAGATCGGGACAAAGGCAGAGAAATACACTGGACGAAGGGACAGAGTGCAACCGTTGCACCGTAGCGTGGTGCAACGGTACTGCGATTACACGAATTATTACCTGCAGTCCAATCGAGATTTTATCGCGGAATTACGATTTATATAAGATTGGTTAACGCAAAATAAACTTAATTATTTTCCTAACGAGAATGAACTCACAGATTGACCGAGGATTCTTATGGGTCTAAGGTATTTGTATTTGAGGCTTCGAGAGTTCCTGGTAAAATGACTACGTCACACTTCCTTTTACTTCCTCGTTGCGTATCTGTATAACATATGGTGTATGTACATGTATATATGGGCACCTGCATAATGTGCGTTATGTAAGCGCATAAGATTAACGTACCTATGGTAATGTTACGTTCTTTGTACGGAGTTGGTATCAGTGAGTATCGTATTAATATCAGGCGTAGGAGTTGTACCGGGAAGAAGTGCAAGATAGAAAAGTAATTTAAGAAGAAACATAGGTACAGGGTACTGTACTGTGGCAGTATATTAAACAAATTTACTAAACAATTTTCCCATTGCAAAGTACTGCTCGAAATGTTCCAGCAAGAGATTAAGGATAATGAAATGTATTATATTTGGAAAATTTGAAAATTATTTTAAAAATTCGTCAGTGCGAAACACGTTTGTCTGCACTCGTAAAGCGGAAAACAGACTCTACGAATCGATTATTTATAACATCCGACGTCGCGCTACAGTGTATCTCTAATGTGAATTAAATAAGCTCCATCGACTTTTTACTCGATTAAGTTGGCAGTCAATTAAGTACTAATTAATCGAAGCAACGGAGGAAGTCCCTAATAACGCTCAGTATGAGGTGTAAACAGGATTAAGAAAATTATAATAATAATATCCATAACGAAGTACAACGATACAAACGTCACCACACTCTTTTCTAACAGCAATAACTTAATAACATTGATTATCCTGAAAATTGAAAAGAACGAATTTAAAAGCGTCGCGACGGCACCGCTAGAGCCGCTGGCGTCGATTCGCAGGTGCAAATTAGAATGCGGTATATGGCCGATAAGCGTAGGTCCCGTGTAGAAAGGTTTAATTGCGAATGATCTTTATACGCATTCAATGACGGAACAGAAAAGCAGGAGCAGCAGCAGCTCTCATTGGCCCTGGCGTTAACCTCAAGAATGCAAGATCGCGCCGCGTCCCTTGCTCGCCTTATTTCCTTGCGCCGTAACCAGTTAAAATAATTAATAGTTAATTGAAACGGTCATTTCTCACGGGGGCTTGGTTAAGACAGAGTGAGAGGGGGGGGAGAGAGAGAGAGAGAGAGAGAGAGAGAGAGAGAGAGATAGAGAGTAGGAGAGAGCTAGAAAGACAAGCACCTTCTTCTTAAGGGTGAATAGAGAAGCGCAGAAGAGGCCAACGAGAATGCACCAGGCGAATTGAGTCTAACCTGGTCGGATCGGGATAGAAGAGTAGATAAACCTAACCTATAAGACAACGAAGGAAGTAGATACGTACCTTACATGCACGGCCGTATCACACGCATAGGGGCATTATCCCGGGTACAGGTACACCCAATTATGCAAATCGTAAAAAAGAAAGGGGAAGAGCGTGTCTCGCGACGAGAATAATCGTACGGATTAGAGTAATCTCTAGTGTAAGGTGGGGCCCATCTTATAGTAATATGCACTCGGCCAGGGCCCTCGATTAAATCATCCAATTTGTCGGCCCAATTTTGTAATCCACTTCTTCGAGCTGCTTTCGTGATACCGCCGCGCCTAATTATCGACCCTCGAGCTAGTCGGATGGGTGTAGAAGGAAAAAAAAAAGGATATTTTTTGGCCACGCTGTAATGGAAGGTTAGGTACCATAAGGTACATGTATATGCGATCCGTATACATCCTTCATGATGTGGGGCAGACCATTTCTTTCGACTGTTCGACGGTATGACGTAACCGGCCTACCCATAACTCCCTGCGGTTCTACGGAGACACTTTGCCTCGTAGATGTGTCTATTTTACGCGAGCCAGGAGAAGTCGCGACGGGGTCGGCGTCGGTGTCCGTTTCTATAGTGTCGGACGTATATAACGCGGCTGTCTAGCAAGTACAATTGAGTCTGACCTCTGACACGACGCGGCTCCGAGGAAGCCGCGGAAAGAGGCAGCTCTTGATTCATGACTGGCTATAACATAACTGTCCGACACTTCGTGATCTGACTGGAAGCCCCATTCACAGTTGTCATACGTCGAAGACGCATGTGTGTGTATGCATATGTATAAAAGGTATATGTACAAACGAGTATCTAAATTTTCTTGAGAACGTTGGGTTAGGTATACGTAGCCTATACGGAACTAAGAGTCAAATTGCATTTTTATTAGGCCCAATAAAGTAGCCCCTACGATCCAGGATAAACGAAGTCCTAGAAGTGTTGCGATAAACGGATCTGACAAAGTGGATCTATATGTGGATATTCTTGAATGGATTCGATCAGGTTTCAAATTACTGTCTTCTTGCACGATCTTATACACATGCAGCCATATTATTCTTTAATGGGATATAATACTTACGTGCTCGTCTACGGAGTACGTTAACTCGCCGTCGTCGTAAAGGACGAACCACCTTCTTTGCCATCTCTGAAAATAAAAATAATTTATCCATTAGTCGGCGTCGCCAATGATTACAGTATACACAAGAGTGGAATGCGTGGGAAACATTAAGAACTGGAATTTTCTGAAAAAAAAAAAATTATTGTAGGACGTTCACGATTCGCAAGATTTCCCCGTGGCACTGCCGGCTTAATTTATTCGCACGAGACGGCCGAACAATTAGCACGGGCCATATGTTAATTAGAGACAAAGTGGTAACCGGTAGCTGGTTTGTGAAATTAGAAACCAGAAAGGTACTTATGCAAAAATTCTTCAATCACAAGCAACAATTTAAGCAATCACGAATATATTATACGTTGATGAACATCGACAGCTCTATTTAATAAGTGCCTCATCGATCATTCGATTCGATAGGATTCCACAGATAAGTCAATGACGAATTGTTACGCTTGCGTAACAGGCTTACGGTTATGAACGTGGATAAAATCGCTCGTTTCGATGGTCGGATAAGGCCGCGATAAAATCAAAAAATATACAAAATTTTTTTGGATTATTTTATTTGAATTCGACGAGCGTCGAGCATTGGACGAAGATTACTGGTCTTATCAGAGACTTTCCCGATTCACACTGTTGACCTATAGCGATACCAGTGATAATCGTAGCTTTGGGAAACGTGGAGGGGGGATTTTAAACGGGAGGGAGGGAGGCTCCCGCAGTGAGAACTCAATAGGGAAAAGTAAGCGCAGTGACAAGGGGGAGAAGAAGGGAAGAAGTGACTCCGCGCTCGATATAATCAACGTAAATGGAAATCTGGAAAGGTCGGATTTATTGCCGCAGGAATACGGGGCCCGGGCATTCTCTCCGCGGCCGGATAATTTACCATCGGGGGCCTCACGGGAACGCGTCCGTGAAACATCGAATTCACTTGGGTGATGTAACTCGGCCGCTCGTAAATACCTACGTAGGAATTTACCAAACGAGAGGGCAATCCTAAGGGGAGAAGAGAATTAGAGGGGAAGGACGCCGAGGGAGACCGAGGATAGGAGGAAGAAGGAAAGGAAGAAAAATATAAGAGTCGAATGATACAGGTAGTGAAGGATAAAAGTTGTAGAAGTAAAGCTCGAAGAATTCGAGCAATACGAAGGAAGGTTGCACCCCCTTGCTGCACTTTCTTCGGTATTCCTCGAGGACACTTTACACCGCACGCGATGGAAGTGCGTTTACGCGTCATTGTATGCTAATTCACGTGCGGTGAGAGGTTCATGGCTTCCTCGAGGGAGAACCAGCAGCGCTGTGCCAACACGGCGAACTATCGCCTAACGTCAGGAAACAGAAGGAATTTAAAGCAGAGACACTTTTTAAATAGGATTCACAATGCAATACACCCTTATCAGAACGAACGGCTGAATCGAGTCCGAGAGACACGCAACACGTTATGGGATTTTCCTTATTTTCGAACTGTTTGTCGTTGCCCCTTTCCCTATCACGCGAACGATTGAGAAGGCCGCGTTGAGTTTAGAGTCTTCTAATGGCAGGGTGCGACATTACGAGCAGCGAGGCCTTTATACCAGTTCCGATGGTTCTTATGGTGATAAGAGGACTGCCTATGGGAAACGTCGACGAATGGCTAACCTAATCCAACCTAATACAGAGTGTAGCTATGGGTACCGTTGCGGAATGAGCAAGGAAGAAAGGCCCGAGAAATGTATAGAGAACGGGAAAGGGAGTCGAGACAAGGAGAGAGCGGCCTACGCGAGGCGGCGGTATCTTCATCTGGTAATTATTCACGGGGCCCGTAGATTGAGGTGCCAGTACCCACTGGTGCCGGCACGTGCGTGGGAAGATCTTGAGAATAGCGGAAAGGAGCGACGAAACGCCAAAGGATCCTATCGTCAATAAATTTAACACGTGAGGCGTCATCATCACCGAGGAGATTCTTGACCCAGGGCGATGGCATCATCCCAACGAGTAGCATCTTCACTGAGGTTCCACCCCTCCACCCCCACTATAAATCATGTGTATCCGTAACATCACTCTGCAGTATCCTTGACCTACCGCAGCTTCCAGGTTGGTAATTGCGATCGTTAAGATCTCTACGCGGGGCCCCGTTTTGCTTGAGCGTAAGTTCCAGTCGTTCCGATTAGCAGCGGCCAGGGAAGGCCTCTAGCTGTTGCAAGAAGATGGACGTATCATTTTTTTTCCTCGCTACGCCCGGATCCTCCTCTGGAATTCCATGCGAAACCGACGCCCGAGGACGCCGCTCGCTGCGCCTGATTAGCGGATGAATTTTTATTAGTCACGATGCGCGATTTCCTTGTTATTTTTTCATTATGACATACTTCCCCCTCCAGGGTACCCTGTACACTGAAACTGGTATCCACGAGGAGCGAAGGGGCAAAGTGGAGAACTGGTATATCCTGTAAGCGAGACTTTGACTAGGAATACGAAAGCGAGGAGCGAGTCCTCCAGGACGCTAATAAAGGTAGCGTGTCCTTTGGATCTTGTCAAGCAGTAATCGCGGTCTTTACTTTTAAGGAATACAAAAATTTTTAATTTACCATCTGATGAATTACATCATCCCGAAGCACGGTATATTCAGAATTTGTTCAGAATGAATAATTCTGAAATAAATAAATAACATATATATACTAAACGATACTGATGACTATTCCGTACATTAACAACTCAATTTCATTAAGGATGCGCGAGGAGTTTCTGCTTCTCGTTAAAGTCAACAGGTTACGCCGAGGCTGATATCGTTATCTCTATAGTCTGTAACCTGTCCCACACAGTAATTTGTATGTTTATTATTCATTTCGAGTGACCATTAATCTTATATGGAGTGGAGCAGTGGCGAAAGGAAAGAGGCAGCGAAACGTTACGTGGCGCGTAACAAAGTTCAATAGAATCCATGATAGTTCCGGGTGTTGAGTAGGAAAAGTGAATACGTGAAAAGAACAAAGACGTAGGTAAATTGAAGCTAGAAAAAGAAAGAGAGAGAGAGAGAGTCGAAGAAATAAAAAACTCTTGTATCGCTACACCAATGTGACATTATAGGATACGTTCCGATAGACGGCGAATCATAATTTGCACTGACAAAACCTTTGTCCGCCTCTGCCTAATAAATCCTAACACAATGCAACCCTCCTTCGTACAGTCCCCATGTCCCCATTACATTACTCCTCGCGCCATAGAGACAATGCCACGCGGCGTCGAATAGAATGGAAATAGAAGGGAGGTCGCGAGTGGAGTACCAAACGGAGGTGGAGAGAATATCAAGGCGGTATAAACCCGGGACTTGTGACAAGGCGCTCCTTAGACGCCGGCAACGCGTGTGGCTCTAATACCGTCTTGGACGGTGTCGACGGCTTCCTGGTGCTAACTTATAACCATCTATGCAGATCGCACGGGTTATGCATCCTGTTGGTTTCTGCCGAAGAGATGCAGCTGGATTATTCGCATCTAAGATATCGGAACGGAGGTGGAGTGCACTATAGGCATCGTCAGCTATTGTTACACAGAGTGCTTCCCCGTCTCCACGTGTAATTTCGAGATAACGTCAAGAAGGAATACAGTAGCAAAATAACGCACCGCTGTACCAATTATATTTTCGAGTCATTCCGGGATTATACGCAATTAATAATACCGTATAGCTAGGCTACATACGTCGGTTAAATCGATGGCGACGGCCGATAATGGCGCGCCGTGCGTGGCCGCCTTTACGCGGCCGATGCGTGCTCGATATCGCGTGTTTGTACGTGAATGGGGCGCAGCTCAAATAATATTATCGGCCGATAACGGGAACGGAAAAGTAATCCGGCACTTGGAGTACCGCTCGGACATCCAGATATTCAGGTGTTGGTGTGTTGCTTGGTTATCGCCGTTGCGATAGCGGCTTTACGTATCGCCGATAGCTGTGTATATATACGAGATATATGTATACACGTATCGGAGTAGGAATACCGTTGGTCAGCGAGGAGATTCGCGAAAACGAGTAGAAAGACACAGGAAACAGTCTTAAGTGCAGGAACCGTACGATAAAGTAATGACTGATATAATGACTGATAGTTAAAATTTTTCATATCGTGAAAATATCAGTTACACTCGGGGCACTGTTAAACAGAGATCCCTGGGGACACGTAGAAACTTGGTCACATTTAAGAACTCGTTGGACGTGAGTGACGCAATTGCTCACGTAAACGGAATAGATATATTAGACAAGAGCTATATGGTACCACGTGAACAGGTCCCATAGCGTATAGATGTGGAAGAGTCCCCACGTGTCTGGGCTATGTATATATACATAATAGACGTAATTGTACTCGGAGGTTTCACGGCATCGGTAAGATCCACACCATAGACAGTAAATACATAAACACAGAGAAACCAAATGGACTAATGGTATACTCGGATGACGCGGCTCGATTAGGTAGAATACATTATTGAGTCGTCCATTATCGCTATCGTGAGTTCAAAGAAGTTCGGACGGGATCTGGAGAAGACAGAGAGCGATCCCAGTGACAGTGACAGCAGTACAATAATAATTATCCCGGGAAATCATAGAGGCGCTGCAGTCGACCCGTTCCTCGAGCTTCCACGCTACGAGAGCCGTAACTAAAGTCTAAGGGGGATTTATTCGTTTGAGGTTATAAAAGAGGTCCTTTATCGAGAACCAAGGATGTCCCGGGTAAGTAGGAAATTGTGTAGGACGCGATCGACTATCGTTCGGCATAGCGATCCTCGGCACTATCGGCAACATAGCAGCGAGCAACGGCAGCAAATAGCAGGACAGCCCAGCAGCAGCAGCACTATGAGTTACCAATAGCGGCGAGCAGCCACCGGCGAGGTCTAACCAAGAAGAGCAGCGTCGACGACGAAGAGGACGACATAGAGGTCAAGCAAGATATAGGGCGCCGTACGGGTATGTAAGTAAATGTTGTACAAGCCACTAAGGCAACAATATAATGTAACCTGGTGCGTGTTACGGTACCCGTGATAAAGACGCCGGACCAGCAGGAGGACGAGGT